TTAGAGAACTGTCTAATGTGAAAGTGAGTTCTACTGAAATTTTGCACCACTCTAATGTACATTTATCCTTTTCAAATGGATCATTCCCAGTGAGCGACTTTGTATTCAATTACTGTAATCTGACACCAGCTCAGGTGATTCCTCTCAGAAACCAGGTGAATGTAGAGTTGTTGTTGAGGCACTGGTGCACAGCACAATCTAACAGTATGCATTCAAGAAGATTATTCAGCTTCTCTATAAGACCTGTGGTTGTAAACAACATGGTCACCAGAGCGTTCAACCATTCACAAGAACTTCCTCTTCACCTTAGAAATTATTTTGTGCACTCCTTTGATGAAAAAACAAAATATTACAGGCCTACTGTGTTTTTACACAACTGTTCTCAGCTAACAAAGGTCTTCCTATCAATCTTCTTCTTAAGGATAAAGTCAAAACATGAACATCCTTGTCTATCACATGTGACTATCTGCTTATGTAACCAACACAACTCTCCCACAGAGTAAACACAAAGCCTGTGGCACTCAAAGAGAAAGCCTGCTCAGGTTTCTGTTGACACATACAGCAAAATCAGGCTTCCCACAGCATTAGCTCACTTTTCCACCATCAAAGCACCACCATAAAGTCTAGGCACACTGAGATTTGATGATGTGGAACCAAGACACGGTACAAATGTGAGCAGTGAAAGAATGAAAAACTAAATAATGTAAGCCAGGTGCACAAAATTGTATCTGTTTGAAAATCTACACACCGAAGCAACATGCATCATGGGAGAGGAATGAGGAAGTGTTTGGTATGTGAAGCGAAAACACAAAACACAAAAAACCCACAACAAAACAAACAAAATGTATTCTTCCAGCTTGGTTTCTGTTATTTTATGTTGTCAATAGAGTATAATTAATCTTGTCAAAAAGTGGACAAAGAGAAAATATGGGCTAATAAACCAGCAGAGAATTCAAGCCTAAATGTGACATTAATTCATGTGTGCAGAACAAAGGCTGGTTTCAGGAGAGATAAAGTAAATCAGGAGTAAATGAGTTATTCCATGCCACGGTTTAATTAATGGTGAACATCACTTATCAGGGTATTGGCACAGCACAGACAAACACACACAATGTACCCACCACAGCACACTGCTAAAGAGTCCCTGCAGCCCATTGTGCTCAGGAAACAGTGACCCCCTATTTACCATCCCAGCAAGCAATTACGACACTCCATTCTCACTACCCCACAAGCCCCTAGCCTGCACGAGCAGGGTCATGGGCTATTGGTGTAATTTATAAAACAATACCTCACATCAGACACATCTACATAAAGACCAGTTTGTGTTTATCAGCGAGCAGCAGGAGCCGTATCCTATTTACAGCAAAAGGACATAGAAAGATATCCTCAGGTGACAGAGATGGAGCAAATGGGGTAATTATTAAGGGCCAATAAAGAAACAGCTCTGTTATGCAAGGGTGACAGTTTATATCAGTATCCACTAGGAACGAGCTTGGCAATAACAAACAAGTATGTGCCAGTAGCAGACTGAGGTCATGCGCCAGACAAGAGTCGTCCGAACACGACTCTCTCCACTGCTAAGATGATTAATTCAATGAAAGAACACAGGTAGCACAGGTTTGAGGAGAGAAGGGCCACAGTAGTAGATCCTACACATATTGTGAACAGCTGTCATCAGCTGTTCACAATAAGACAAAATGAAAATATGACCATGTATCATAGTTATCTGAATTATTCAAATCAGAATTAAAGACATAAACTAAAGGAAAAAATATAGAAATAACAGGTTTAGCTACTTTTTGAAAGTTATTATTAATATTATTTTATATCATCCCTTTTCCCTGAGGTGTTTTGTTTTGCCATATGGTAGTTACTTTACAGTTATCCTACTTTACTTAAACAATTTTGCATCAACTTACCACCTCAAGTTTTCTTCCCCCAAAATTGGGAATGAATAAAGTAGAATTTCTTTTTAATGAAACATGGTAAATTTTAAAGAAAATTGTGGTAGACAGTGCTAAAACAGTCTGTTCATAAAATAACACAAAGAAAACTAAACTATTTTGATAAAAGATTAAATCACTTCCTATGCTACCTGGAAATCATTTAAATCCTTTGCTGAAAGCATGGCAACTGTTGTTACTAACACCTAACTGTAATGTTATTAGTTTACTTCATGCATGTCACAAAATTACCATTTATTTTTATACCTTACTGAGAAAATACGTCAGTGACCTCTAACTCTGTTCATATCCTTGATTTGGTATTACAGGGGTAGAGTGGGCAAGGTTTGAGAAGTACGGTTAATTGTTTTCTTATTTTGGTTTATAAAGTCTGTATTGTATTTTGCTATGGAAAAAATATTGAAAAAGTCTATAATCATTTCAGCTTGCAAGAATCAAAACAAATATCCACAGACTGATTGGGAAACTGTTTCTTAGTTGCAGCTCCATTTTCCATGAAACATTTGGGTAATTAGAAAATATGCCAGGGTTAAATGTTTACTAGTTTGGGGGGGGGTTACTCATTAATCACCATTTCTACTTGTTAGGAAGGTTGTTTCTCTACACTGCACACATGCAGGCAGACTGCTGTGTGCTGCCCTATCCACACATCTAAGATAGTGCTGAGAAAGAGAGAGAGCCTTGCACTGCAGCAAAAGCAATGAACCTCTGATGATGTTGAAGATGATGGGGCTGACATGGCAGGAGTCCAGAGCTGAGGATAGGTCCAGTGCCAGCCAAGAACTGACAGGTGAATCCTGCCTATATACCGACAATACTTGAGATTACGACTGGTTTATAGGTGACTAAGTCTTGTATGAGTGTAAAATCACATGGGGGAAACACACTAACGCAAACACAAGCATCTATGGTAGCCAATAAACTTTACAACAGACGGCTCTGTCGACATAGTAATGACACAAAGTAGCAACCGCATCAACTTACCACCTCAATTTAAATGCCCAGGTAATTCACAATGATAGCGCCGCAGCGTGATACAATATCGAAAACTGGGGGATTGCGCAATGGGACAAGGTTAAAACTTATAGCCATGAAAATAAAATAAAACTCACCGGCATCATTTTAGCTTCGTACCGCATTTAGCTAACGCACACAGCATGAATCCCCGCTGGCAGTTTCGACGAAGGCTGTTGGGACTGGCGATCGCTGTAATCCCAGAGCCTAAAGCCGCGACAGGCAAGGCTACTTTCTCCTTCTTAGGGAGGGGGGATCCAGTCCTGCGTTAAAAAAGGACAACACAACAAAACATGGTTACGCTCTAAAATTCGACAAAAAATAAAAAGAATACAAAAACAAATAGCACTAAAGTTAACTGCATCTCGTGTCGTAGACCTGTTGCACCAGATAACGAGGCCTTCACGGCAAAAGTTTCCGTTGTGGTTGCGCGAGCATCGCTTTAAAACTTTGTAATGCTCGCAAAAGCGAGCGCGAGGATCGACGTTAATAAAAAAAAACAAGGTTTGTGAGTGGGGATACACACCCGCGTTTAAATGGAAATACTTAATAATAATTTTTTTTAAGGTTTTACTCACCAAGAAAATACGTAGGTAATCGTCTCGAAACCCAGTAGAATGACAGCGTAGCTCGGTCGCCCGCAGGGAGCCTATCCCAGAGTGACGTAGCGAGAGGAAACTCATTCCACTTTGGAATTCAAGCTCCACCCCTGCCGGAGCATAAAACACCCCCACCGGTTAGACTTGTATACTTTGTGCCTTGACTTCTGTCTTAATATCGGAATCGCACGCTTAATATTGAAACCATGTGCAAAAAAACAAAACCATACATTCAGTGTGTTCAGCAGTTTCTCAGCAGCAGATTAAACTTAAAAGAGCAGAGGTAGGAATGATTCATCGCCAGGACATACTTAAGATGTATCACTCCGCCAGTAATCACAAACTGAAAGGGGAAGGTGAAAGAGCTGCGAAACTGTTTGGTTCAGTAAAAGCATTAATTATTAAAGATGGCAACTTAACGAATGAAAAAAGAATAATTATTAAAGTTAATATGACCAGTTAGCTGAATTAGAGCATATAAACAAGCAACACCTAATGTAACTTGGGAAAATGTAACTTGCTTCAGATAAGAGCTGTAATCAGGATTTATACTGAGATAAAAATTTCTACCTGGCTTCATCTAAACCCCATATGGCCTCACTGTATATCATGAATCAGAAGAGTTCTTTCTTCTCTTCTTATACTCTCACTTCAGATTACAGTGTCGTCTGCAAACATTATAGTCTACAGAGTCTCCTGCCTGACCTCATCTGCCATCCTGTTCATTACCACTGGGACTTCCTACATTTCTGATGTAATCCCATCCCCATCCCCTAGCTTCAACAACTCTTTCCTATAACTTCGTGTTATAGCTCATCAACCTTATCCGTCTACGGCTACAGCTCTGCACATCACCCTTTAACTTGAAACTCAGTATTAGTAAACTTTTTTCCCACTCCTCGGGCATCCTCACACTTTCCAGGATTGTGTTTTCTGGTTAAAAAGCCTACTCCCTTCTTTCCTATATATCGCCATACTTCCAAACACGTGTAAAATTTTCCTGTACTTTTATGTAGAATTATAGTTAAAGATTATTTTTTGTAATTAATTAATTACTGTTTATTACGGAATCTATTTGTTGTATTCCTGCTCTTTTTATTTTGCTGCTGTCATCATGCGAATTTCCCAACTGTGGGACTAATAGAAGGTCTTTTATGTTATCTTAGACATCCTGGTCTCATTAAACATATATGTAATGACTTCTAATGCGAGATGAAGACATTTCCTGTACTTTGATTTATTTTATTTTATTTTAGTTTTGTAAGTAAACCATACTGTTTGCTTCATTTTTACATTTTTTTAATTCAAGTAACTAATGAATATAATAGTTTCAGAGGTGATGGGTTAGATTTATATAGACGATCTTTAAAAAAAAAAATCTTAGACTACAACTCCCAGAATTCCCACTCAACGGCGAGCAAAGTGTTCAAACGCGCGAGTAGCGGCAGGAGAAGCAACAGCAGCACATTCTGTACACGTTGGTACCTCACTGAGTGTATCGCTCGTCTCACTGTACTGTAGGTGCTTTGCATAAGGGAGTTGCTTTCGCCTCAACAGTGTGTTAGACGCTACTTGAAGTCATGGCTGACCAGGTGGCCGCCATGTGTGATCAGCTTGTGAAAGCTGTGAATGTGATTATGGACGCAGAAACAAGTCAAATTTACCGACTGGAGGCCCTAAAGGTAGCTTCGTTAACGCTTGCTAGCTAGCCGCTAAGTTTGCTGAGCTTGTCATTCATTTGTGAAAGGAGAATAATGTACTGGCTTAGCTAGATAAATTGGGCTATTATATGTAGTTCCCTAGTAACAGCGCTGTTTATACGGTTCATGTATGTTGGTTTAACCTGCAATGATGATAGCCATATGCTTTACGAGCTAGCCGGCATGCCACAATTATCACCTCAACACCAGAGCCCCTGTGGACTCATATTCATGCCATTAACCACATGGTGAAAAGACAGAGCTCGATTTAATGAGGCTAGTTAACCAATTCCGAGTAATTCTGCCCCCAAGAATAACTCTAACCCTAGCTGCTAGATTAGCATTCTGCTATCCAAGTATTTATATGAATGTTTGTGAATTAGCTGTTGCTATCTGACATATTACACGTGTATGGTAGTGGTGGGTTCACAAAACTGTTCATTTAAAGTCTTATAACATTTCCTAATCTTTAAAATTACGCGGTTTCTTTTTTCTTCTCTTCAGTTTTGTGAAGAGTTTAAAGAGACGAGCTCCTTGTGTGTCCCATGTGGCTTACAATTAGCTGACAAAGCCCAGCCAGCAGTAGTGAGACACTTTGGTTTGCAAATCCTGGAGCATATCATCAAGTAAGTTGAAGGTGACTAAGGTAAATGTAATAGGGAAAAAGCATGATAAGGGATCCATGTTTGACAGAAAGCTAATGTCTCCCTGCAGATTCAGATGGAACGACATGCAGCAACAGGAGAAAGTCCACCTGAAGGAGTGCGCCATGCAGCTGTTATCAAATGTAAGTGTGATTTGTGAAAGACGCTTCACTTCACAGTTGTACTGCTCTGATGCCTTCTATTGTCTCTTTTCAGGGTACTCATTCGATCTTGGACGAGGAGAGCCACATCAAAGATGCCCTGTCACGAATAGTTGTGGAAATGATAAAAAGAGAATGGCCTCAGCATTGGCCAGATATGCTGAAAGAGATGGAGACTCTCACTAGCCAAGGGGTAAGTAACCTGTGTGGTGCAGGAAGCTCAATTTTTCCTCATCTCACTTGTTTCCTCAGCCAACATGGATTCAATATGAGAATGGAATAACTTGCATGCAAATAAGGGCCAGTTGTGGATTACTCATTCATTTTCCCATTGCCTCATCATGTAAACTTGGGCACTGGGATAACGTCACCTTCCAAATACGAACCTAACAACCCTCTTTCCGCTTCCTTGTTTTATCACTAAACTGTAGACCTTTTCAGACATTCAGATCAAGCTTGGTTTTACTTTTATCATTAATACATACCCACTCTGAACTCTGAAGGGATGAACAAAGTACCTGTGCAATATTACAATAATATCTAAGTGTGATAGTATATTAAAGGATATACAATTCTTAAGAAAAGTTTTTTTTTAGTTGGTTGCTGTATATTTAGAAAATCAGTTACATCCTATGTGTAGCTATGGGAATGTGGTAGACTGATTAAGCAGTTGCTTTAATGCAGTGTTGTGTGTCAGCGCACCTAAATGAAGTGGAGTACACATTGTCATTTCAATTCAATTCAATTCAATCTTTATTGGCAGACTTCATGTCCATAAAAACAAGACAAAAACACACACATAACACCCCCCCCCAACACAAGGTATAAACCATTAAATATATATATGTATATAAATAAGTATCTAAAACATTTGTAAAAATATAAAACCATAATATACATAAAACACAATTACTTAAAATAAATCAATAAATACACAAACACTTTAACCAGTGCTTTCTGAGACTGGATGAGTAACGGGAACCACTCACTGGATCTGTGAGTGCTAAAATTATACTGTTACTCGAACCATCCAGTCGTTCTCTAAAATTGAACATTAGCTTCCTTAAAAGTGCTTTAAAAGTCCAAACACCCACAGCTACAAACATCTGGCTGGCACTACCACTTCTAGGTATCCTGCAAAGGATTCTCATCGCATCATTATATGCAACATGCAGCTTCTGCATGCTACATTGTTTGTAGGATGACCACAAGGGGGCAGTATATAGCGGTGTGCAATACGCTTTAAACAAAGCCACTTTAACTGGAAGTGAACAAAAGCTGAATTTGCGTGCAATAGTATTTGCCTGCACATAGAGCTTACACCGTTGTCTGTATATGTCATCATCATCATTCATTTGCTCAGTAATAAAGTGACCGAGGTATTTCACCTTTTTATGAACTTCAAGAGTTTTTTGTGCCAGTTTAAACAAAGGGAAATTTAGCTGTTTATCCTGCTTGGTTCTACATATCAAAACAGCACTTTTAGCAGCATTGTACTCAATGTCATATTGCACACCATATTCAGTACAGACATTAAGAAGATCCTGTAACCCAGCACTGCTTGGACTAAAAACAACCAGTTCATCTGCATACATAAGATGATTTATCAATGTTTTACCTAATATACACCCAGTGTTACAGGCTCTCAGTTGTATGGACAAATCATCAACATACAAATTAAATAAAATTGGAGACAAAATCCCACCCTGTCTAACATCATTGCTGACACCAAAGAGGGCAAAAATACTGCTTCCCCATTTAACCTGCATGTTCTGATGAGCGTACCAGTAAGAGAGAATCCTCACAATGTACTGAGGAACTCCCCGTCTCTTCATTTTATCAAAAAGTTTTCTGTGGTTCACTCGATCAAAAGCCTTAGAGGCATCAATGAAACACATGAGGACAGATGAATTTTTAGCCCTATACAAACTGACTATTTCCTTGAGTGCATATATGCACATGTCAGTGCCGTGCTTTGGTTTGAAGCCAAACTGATTATCCAGAGAAGAGATGAACACACTAACTCTATCAAACAAGATTCTTTCTAACACCTTAGATAAAATAAAGTAAGATAAAATACCATTTTAAAAACATCAACATTCATTTATTTGGATACTGCCTTTTTGGAGCCAGCTCCAAAAAATCATATTTGAACAAGGGGGCAGAGTGGTTATTTATAAGCTGAGGTTAAGAAACTTGGTTAGCAAAATGCATTTATAAACCTTACAGCTGCAGTAGAAGGAAACAGATTCCTCATTATTAGTGCTAAGTAACAGATGAATAAAATACTATATGTCACTCAGACTTTGTCTGTAGCACATTGAAGACTGTATATTTTCCAGATATTTTTTTAAAAAGTATTAAAAGTGCTCCAAAAAGCTTGAGCACATATAAACACCATACGCTGCTTGATAAATGTATACAACTCTTTCATGCTGAAACAGCAAATGGCTTTGAGGCTTCCTGAGATCTGTCAGTCCCCACATTTATGGGGGCGTTCTTTAAAACATAATTTCGTTCAGTGGGGTGAACAACTTAAAATGCTAGAGAGATGTAAGCATTTGTTACCTTGTGCGTGCTTATCCTTTAATGTAATGACAAGCAGTCAAACTTGTACCATGTTTTTCATGGATGCTTAAATGTTATTAGGTCTGACTTGATAAAACTATCATTGCGTCTTTTATGGAAAAGTGAGCATTCAGACGCATTCTTGATAATCCAAGCTGATTTGTCACGAATCACTTCTTTAAAACTGCTGTTACAGCCACTTAAAGCTAGATAAAAGCAAATCAAGGAAAAAAAACATCCTCTTTGCTTTCACAGGAGGCCCAGACAGAGTTGGTCATGCTGATCCTTTTGAGGCTGGCTGAGGATGTGATCACCTTCCAGACGTTGCCTACCCAGCGACGCAGAGACATACAGCAGACACTCACCCAAAACATGGAAAGCATCTTCACTTTCATGATGGGCATTCTTCAAATTAATGTGGAGGACTATCGTAAACTGGTTAGTGGAGTCCTGACCTCATTTGTGTTGCAAGAAAGTAGAAATTTAAGAGTAAACTGACTTTACAATATTGGTCTTCTTTTTGTTTTCATCTAGAAAGGTTCTCCTGGAAATGAACTGCAGGTAAGAAAGCGTCAGCGTGTGCCTGCTTTAATATTCTAAACTTTGTTAATCGACTTGATTACTTCACTTTGCCCCCTTATAATTTTTCATCCACACAGATGAGAGCTCACTGTCGAGTTGCCGTGGCTACGCTGAATACACTCGCAGGCTACATAGACTGGGTCGCTCTGGTGTACATAACCTCCGGAAACTGTCATCTGCTGGAGATTCTGTGTCTGCTGCTGAGTGAGCCGGAGCTGCAGCTCGAGGCAGCGGAGTGTCTGCTCATTGCTATGAGCCGCAAGGTGAGTCGCTGGGACAGTATTCATGATGGCTTTCAAGAGATTTTGTCTCGGTTTGTCAAGTAGGCACTGCTGTATGCAACCTTCTTTTATGAGATGATAGAATTGCCAGACAAGCTTTTCCAGTTTCTTTTCCCAGCAGCTTTCATCAGTGTGATCCTCTGAATATACTAATAAGTCCTGCAGAATTGTGTTTTTTGCAGTTAAATTGCTTTAACGTTTATATGTATTGTGCTATTATAACCATAATTACATGAGCAATGCACAAGTCTAATCAGGACACGTGAATCATGCAATGACAACAAGGTATGAGTCTGAACAAGTCCATGAGTCCATTTCCTCTAGGTTCCAGGTAGGGTTAATAGAGCTCATATCCCAGTCATCATAACTGACTTGTTTTTTTTTCTTTTATTGGACAGAGTCATAAAATTTCTGCCATAATAGAACTTTGAGTAGAATTTCTAATGATCATATTAATAGTGTTATATTTTCAGCAATAACTCAGTCAAAATTAGGAAACGCACAGAAAATGACAAAGGTGCTTTTGTCCTCGCAGCAGATAGAACCACATGTTGGATTTGGCAGAAATTTCACGCGGGATGTTTGTTTGACACAATCCTCCCCATGGATAAATGGGAATACAATGAGTAAATAAGTGTTGAAGATGGGAAATATTTGTTTAATCTGTCTTTTTAAAAATCCTTATACACTTTGAGAGATTTTACTATTAAAATAACTCTATTTTTGATCATTTAGAGGCTTTCTTTTGGGGATTTAGAGTAGTCTTGCAGATCAGAGCAGTAATACTACATTATGGTAAGCTATAGTTTTTTTACTACCAATTAATAATCTGTCATTCTGCCACAGGGCAAGCTGGAAGAGAGGAAACCATTCATGCTTCTGTTTGATGATGTGGCCATCCAGTATATTCTTTCTGCAGCCCAGTGAGTACAGCTGCTTCTCTCCACGTCTCTGCAGGCTTCATGCTAGCACTTCTACTGCAATTTAATGGTTTGTGTGTCTGCTTACAGGACAGCAGATGGACTTGCGATATATCAGAAATCCGCAGAATCATCATTAAGTAGCCGTGACTCAGAGCCCTCTATGTGTACCTCTAGAGCAGTGGAGGTGGTGGAGCGGCGTTACATCTTCCTGAAGAGGCTCTGTCAGGTCCTGTGTGCTTTGGGAGGTCAGCTTTGCTCATTAGTGGTAAGTTTGGCCATTTTTAAGCACTTTAGATATTCGTTTTAAGATTGAAGATGGGTAACAGTTTCTCATCTTTTCTCCCCAGGGTTCAGACGTAGAGGTTGAAGTACCTGCAAACCTCAGCAAGTACATGGAAGCCCTTTTAGCCTTCACTACGCATTCCAGTCAGGTGAGATACCTCAGGAAAAAGATTGGACCCTTTTTGAAGTAAAATTTCATTTGAGTGAACAGCGTGTAAAGAAAACGACTTTTCTCTTTATTTCACTGCAGTTTTTAAAGTCCTCAACCATGGCGACATGGGGAGCTTTGTTCAGACATGAGGCTCTTTCAAAGGATGCAGCTGTTGTCAAGATGGCTGTCAAATTTCTTAGAGCCTCTATGACCAACTTAGTTAAGGTGAGGTCGTGGTGACAGCAATATCATTCACAGTGTGACCTAAAGCCAAACAAAGTGTTAATAACTTTCATCTTCCCCTCCTTAGACTGGGTTCCCGTCTAGAGACAATAACCCAAACTGCGAGTACTCCCGTGTGGACTTTGACAGTGATGAGGACTTCAACTCTTTTTTTAATTGTAAGTACCGGGGATTCAAGTTTTGCTTCAGTAGTTCTGACTCTTTTATTTTGTGCATACCTTTATGGTTTTCATTGTTTCTTATGGTGCTTTGCAGCTTTCCGAGCGCAGCAGGGGGAAGTTTTGAGGAGCACATGCCGCATTGTTCCTCTAGAGGCTTTCCGGATAGGAGCAGAATGGTTACAGTATCAGATTACTAGCCCAATAGATACTGGAGATAATGCATGTAAGTAGTCTTTGACACAATACCAAACAGGAAATGATCGCTGTTTTCACACGTGTTTTGGTTTACTGCTTGAAGGGATTTTTATGGCCATATGCCGATAGTTAATTCATCATGTAAAATACGTAATAATATTACAATAATTTAAGCCTGGAGTTAATTGGGAAACTAGAGCAGTCAGTTTGGGAATAGCAAACTCATATTGCTACTAACATATAAGCTTTACAGTTTCCTTTCGAGTCTTTTAAGGACACTAAGGGAAAATTGGGGAAGGGCTGATATATTATTGGCTGATATTGACCCTGATGCCAACTTTTTTTTTGTGCAGCGCATCCTTAGCAAAACCTTAAACACAAGTTTCATTTCCATATTGATGGCTGAATCTGCCGTGAATGGGCGCCTCTCCCTTTGCATCTCTCTAGCTAAGACTGCAGAGGGCCTGTGTTCCCTCTTGTCCCCTTCAGTGGTCCAGTGGGATGCAATGACGGTCTTCATGGAATGCATGGTCTCGCAGATCATTAAAAGTGTGGATGAGGAGGTAAAGGAACAAGTTTTCTGTAACAGAATGGAAATAGCAGTGTAAAAGTAATCGTAGTCAAACTAATAATGAAGGCTTTCGCTCCTTCTGCCTTGTAGAAGTTACCCATTGATCAGAGCATGGAGCTCCTGCAAGCCGTGCTGAACTACGAAACCAAAGACCCGCTCATTTTGTCCTGTGTGCTCACCAACGTCTCTGCCCTTTTCCCATTGGCCATACACAGACCACACTTCCTGCCACAGGTCCTCATCAAGGTAAGTTGAGCTGTTACTGGTTCCTGAATAACATTTACTATGTGAATGTAGTTTGTCACAAATCAATCAGAAAGTTCCTCCTGTCACATATTTTTGCTCGGTGGGGATGTTTCTTGTATTCACACCTTCAGCTCATTTGGAGGAGTTTGTTTTAATAATGTGGATTTTGAATGGTTTTGTTTTGTCCTGCAGCTCTTTAAGGCCGTCACATTTGAAATTGATCACGAACCCAAAGTAAGTTTCCTTCACTGAGTCATTTTTACTTCATCTTCATGACAACTGTGGAAAACAAATGTATTCTCCTCCTGATGTCTTCAGGCACCTTGGACTCGAGCTGTGAAGAATGTGAGGAGGCACGCCTGTTCTTCCATCATAAAAATCTGCCGGGATTACCCACAGTATATGCTGGTAATGGACTATTCTATTCCAATTAGCTTAATAGCTAATGATAATTTGTCTTTCTGACGTACACTTTTCCGTATAGAAGTAAGTCAGTGTCTTTAACGATGCCCTTTTTTCTTTCTACAGCCTTGTTTTGAGATGTTTTACAATCATGTGAAGGAACTGTTTTCGAGCGGAGTCGCGCTCACTCACATGGAGAAATGCGCCCTGATGGAAGCTCTGGTTCTCATCAGTAACCAGTTCAAAGACTATGAGAAGCAGAAGGCGTTTGTAGATGAACTGATGGCCTCAGTGGTTGCAGAGTGGACTTCAAATGAGATTAGGCAGTGAGTTTGAATTCTCTCAGTGTGCCTCAAATTTAACACGATAGCGATAAATGATAGTTTTCTCTTCTTTGTTTTTCAGTGTGTTGTGGAACCCAGACACATTCTTGTCCTTTATTGGAGCAGATAAGGTGGTCACAGAGCAAAAAGAAGATGCAGATACAGCAGCCATTAATAGAGGCAGAGTAAGTGTATAGGCGTGAACTCATTTATGTGGAGGGATACTGCCACTGGAGATCACTGTAGGTTTGCTTGTCTCACTTTTGTGTAATGACAAAATGTCGTAAGGGAAACAGACGTTATTTGACCTTTTAAAGGCATTGCACTTGGACGTGTGCTCACTGACGAAACTTGTTTTTTGCGTTGTGTAAGTTGTTTATTACGTAAGCAAAGAAAAACTTTCCAGACAGAATGTGCCATGTCACCAATTTTTTTTTATTTATTTTTTTTTGCACCAGCCACAAAAGCTCATATTTCAAATTCTGACGCAGTTTGTGGCTTGTCGTTGGAGTTTATATTTTATTAATAAACAAAGCTGAAAACCATCTGGGTGTAGGCCCTGAGGTTTTGTAGCAGCTATGTGACTGTAACTAGGTGTAGCAAGGCTTTTAACCTAATCTAACGCAGCATGGTTAAATTTGCTGATTAGAAATAAACACAGAGTGCAGCTGTGGCAAATGGAAAAACTTTTTTTTTTTAGCTATTTGATGATAAACAAAACTATTTGACAAACTAAAAGTGCTGGTGATAGAAATGACACAAAATTTCAAAGTCAGTCGTGTTATAAGAACAGATAAAAATTGCTTGTAGTTAGTTGTAACAAGGTAACTTGTAACTGTTTAATCCTTTTTTTGTATTTTCTTTTTAATTGAATCCTCCTCTAGTTGAGCTTCTGTTTGTATGCTATATTGGCGGTGGTGAAGCGGGCACACTGGCCTGCAGACCTGGAGGAGGCCAAGGCTGGTGGCTTTGTTGTGGGCTACACTCCTGCTGGAGCTCCCATGTACAGAAACCCCTGCACTGCCCAGTTTCTGATTTTGATGCCCAATTTACTAGCACTAATCAGGTGCGCTTGTACCATGATGTTACAGAAATTTGTAAAAAATGATTAATTATCCTTTTTACCGTACTGATATGTTGATTATTGACTTTCCCCTCTTGTTATTCCTCACTGCAGGACTCACAACAGTCTTTTCCTGCCTGAGAACATGGCCCGTCTCAGTGAGACCTTCAGCAGAGCTCATGAGATCATGGATAGTGAGAAGAAAGTGGTTCTTGGTAAGATGAGTTTTGTCCACACTTTTTACCAGAAGTCGGCAATCACCTTAAAAAAAGACTGTGGTCAAACTTAAGTGCATCCCGTCTACAGGTCTCTCTCATCATCTTTTGGATATTTACGACTCTCCCGTGTGTAAAACCATGATAGAGCGCATGCAGGGATTTTTCTGCACATTATATGATAACTGGTGAGAACTGTGGCTTTGACAGCTTTAACCCAAATTTTTCTTGCCTTTTTATATACCTTACATGTTGTTAAATTAAGTTTACCTCCAATTTTGCTGTTTTTAATCCATGTAGCTACCAAATCCTGGGAAGTGCAGGTGTGTCCCTGCAGCAGGAGTTCTACAACATCGACAAGTTGGCTGAAGGAATGGCTGGCTCTGCTTTCGTCTCCCTCGACCATGTGCCCGATCACAGACTTCGCCCAATGATTCATATCCTTATTTGCTTTTTTTTTTTTCTCCATTTGATTTGGTCAGCTTCTTTTCCCCTTCTCCTCCATGCTCCAATTCAGTGATGCACACCGGCCTGCAAGACCTGACATAATTAAAACTGAGCTAAAGCTTTACGTAAACTTTACATTTCCTTGACAAGTGCACGTCTGTTTCTGAGGCAGCTGGTGCTGTCTTGTCCCCAGGAGTACTATGAAAGTCTACTCTGCCCTCTGCTGGGACCATTGTTTGGCTACATGCTGCAGGTCAGGATCTCCACACCCACTGTTCTCTTCTTTTAAACTTTTTAGCCTAAAATGTGCTAAATATCATGGCTGTGTTTCTTATTACTGCTTCAGAGACTCAACATGAGGTGGCAGGTCATCAACCAGCGGACATCTATCAAGTAAGTTTTGGCACAGTGTTTGTGATCAAATGAATTTTCAGTCCATAAGACAAAAATGACACACACATACCCCAAATATAGACCATAATGAAGACTTTTCTTATCTGGAATGGAAATTTCTCAATTGCAGTTTGAAAAAAAAAAAAAAAATCACTGCTTAGTTTTTCCTCATCATTCACCTTTTGTGTGTGTGGTTTTTTTTTTTCTTTCGTTCTTTTTTTCAGTGGTGAGCATGAGGAGGAGGAGGAGTTGGTTTGTCAGGAAACCCAAGTGACCCAGGAGATGTTGGAAGAGCAAGTAGTACGCCTGCTGACGAGGGAGGTGCTGGAACTTCTCAGTAAGTAGTGTCTTTAGTACCGCTTCCCACTCGCATACATGTTCATTCTAATGCACTATTGCCAAGTTGTGAAAGTTGAGCTTTTGGAGCTAATGTTGGTTTCAGAGCACATCAGAAAAGTGCAAATCTCAGCCACAAAGGCAAAGCTGTAATTCTACATTTTGTGGTAGATTTTTCTATCCAGTAGGATTTGTCTTTGGCGAGTGATAAGATTATGTCTGAGTTTATCCAGATTATGAGAAGTATAAAAGCACAATACATACATACATAACAAACAGTTGTACTTTTTTATGCCATTATTAAACAAGGAGCCAGTCACAGAAGGGCTGCAGAAAAGATGTGAAACTCTGCGTTAATGACGTCTCCCTGAGCTCTCTGGAGTCAAGTGCTCCAATTAAGAAGCTAAAAGTGGAAGTGTTTGCAGAGAATTGCACCTTCTTATAAACAAAAGTCATACAAAGTCTGATTGGCAGATAATATTTGATTGAGGATGTTGCTGCCAAAGTGGTATTTAAAGTACGAAATTTAAGATCCCCTCCAAGAGTTGAATCTGTTCATCTGGATGTAGAGTTTTCAGTAAAAAGGGAAAGACCATCTCTGAATCAAGGAAAGTTTCTCCCACTGAAAACGCTACGTCCACATGAACAGAATCAGGTTTTGGGGATTTCCTTACCTGGATGATTGAGCATCTAATCAAGACACTAAACTTAAGAGTGCACACTCTTTTTCAGCCTGCATTGTGAGTGACTGCTTAACATGTATTTTAGTTTGGTTTAGTTTGATCACTCATCAGTGCAGAAATGCTGGTAATTTTGAAGTGTAATTCAAAGAGAGCTTCTTTTTGGAACATGAAGGTTTTTGTGAATTGATAGCGGCTTAGGTAAATAGTTTAAGGATTTTTGCGGTTACTGTGCATTGTGCAATGAATATCCAAGGTTTTGTGTCTATGTAGTGGGTTTGTTTGTTTGGGTTTTTTTTAGCTGTCTGATTAGCTTTTAAAGATGGAAGTTCAGTTGTCAAAACATCACAATTGTCTCTTTTTGTTTTAGCTGTGACCTGTATTTCCAGAAAGGTATCTGAACCTGCAGCCAATAAGGAGGAAATGGATGGTAAGAGTTAAACTGGAGAATTTGAATTAACTGGATGATTTTTATTCTGGCGTATCTCTTTATTTTTCATTAAAATTTGTTGTTGTTGTTGAAACATGCTCTTGCAGAGGAAGATATGATGATGGATTCAGTGCAGTCAGCGTCTCCTGCTCAGCCCACAGAGGAGCTGACAGAGCTGGGGAAATGTCTCCTGAAGCACGAGGTCAACCTAAAACACATCACGTATCATTCAGAGGAAAGCACAGTTGTACATTATTAAAAACGTAATGCTTCTTTTTCATTTCTCAGAACCTCTACATGTCCCTGCTGACCCTGTCCTTTACCTCACTTTCCTGGAAGGATGCCACCAACTGTCATCGCACTGCTTCCCTGGTCTGCTGGACTCTGCTGCGGCAGGTAGCACATTTAATCTAACCTAAATACAAGGCAGCAGCTTTTTGATGCTCTCATCACACACGTTGCTTTTATGCACAAGCTGTCTGGCTATATTTAACCCAGATGTCTCTAAATGTGGGACTCAAGTATGCACAACAGGTTCCTGAGGACTGTACTTCATAATGAAATGCTACGTAAGGAAGAATAAGTTGTGCATTTGTTTAGGATTGATTTCAGCATCACAGTGTGTATATATGACCCTAAACATAAGCCTGTGCTTAGTGTATTTAAGGAGATTTTATTAAGTAAGATTTTTTTTGGGTAACATTGGCGGTTTATAGCACAGAGGACTGAAGTGCTATAGGCTTACACAGGAAACGGTGGTTGGAATCAACAGTACATTTTTTTTACATTTTTACCTTTTGAGGTTACGAAAAAATGCCTTGCAAGATTTTAAATAGCAATATTTATGGATGTCATTTAAGGGATTTGTAAAGATGTGATGAATTATCAGCTTAACATCAGTATAGGTCAAATGTTCACGTTCATGTTTTAATCTGGTGTTTTTCTGTCAGTTTTGCGTTTGGGTGCTTGAAGATGGTGTGACAAAAGGCTAAAGTACCTTAAAGTTATTCATGTATAATGAAAACTTCTTTGATTCTCTGTAACAAAAGAGGAGAGTACCAACAAAAACAAATGCCAACAAAACAAAATACACAAGACATTGGTACTGGCATCGGGTAGCATCCGTATGAAAGCAGAATTTCATAACAAACACAACCCTAAAATCTAACGATCTTTGATCTGGGAGGTGGCTGAATAAGTGTCTTGCATAGCTTTATATTTCTCTTGTCTCCAGGTTGTTGCGGGTAATCTTCTTACTGAAGCTGTTACGTGGTTCTTTACCAGCGTTCTCAGGGGCCTTCAAGTTCATGGGCAGCATGAGGTCTGCAGCTCTACCCTCTCTCAGTTGGCAATGCTCATCTATGAAAACCTGGTGAGGCAAATTTTGAACATATCTGACATATTTACATATTTGCTCTTTTTTTCCCTGCCCTTTAGAGGACTTATTTTACTTTCACTACTAATTAATTTGTTGTCTATATTCTGCTTTGACCTATAAAACGACAGATTACAGTGAAAAGGTCTTGATCAGAATGAAAGATTTTTCAAGATGTAAACTTGCAAAAAAAACCCAAGAATTTGCAAAGCTGGAATCGGCGAAGATTTGAGAGTTTTGCATGACAAATAATGTCTGTCTTTGGGATGAAGTAAAATTGACTTTTGTTTTTGAGACTGGTGTAATACATTCCCAAAATTTAAGTTTCATATCATCTTGCTTCCTTATATTGTATCCTTTTTAAATGTCTGTGTTCCTGTTAGCGGCCTCGCTATATGGAGCTGAGAGGAGTGATGACCCAGATCCCAAACATCAATTTGGAGGCTCTGGACCAGTATGACCACAGGCTCATGGACCCCAGTGCCCAGAAGTTTGGAGAAAAGAAGAGAAAAGACCAGTTCAGGAAGCTTATTGCAGGAACTGTTGGGGTAATGCTACATTTCCCCACTAGAGAGCAGTGCTTCTCTAGTATATCCGACTGTAGATGGCTCATTAGGAGTAACCATAGACGCTGGCGTTTTAGTGCAAGTCATTACTCAGCAGAGTGATTCTGGCTGTGTTGTAAATCTTCTGTTCGCCGCAGCAGAAAAATGTTCAGCAGCTCAACAGGGCCGGACAGTCTAATGAAATTCTTTCCTGCAGGTCTGGGATAGCTGTGTTTAACCTTTCCTCTACCTGTCCCCTGCCAACAGAAAGCTCTGTGCCAGCAGTTCAGGAAGGAGGTTCATATCCGGAATCTTCCATCGCTCTTTAAAAAGCCGAAGCCAGATAAGGATATAGTGAACAATGAACCTCTGGGCCTGGCAGCTCTCTTCTCTCCCAAGAATGATGCCCTGTAGGAACACAAAGCAAGTCAAGACTTCACGCTGTTTGAAGACGGAGTTGTGTGTAGGACCACCGTCTCTCCTAAACATCCTCCAGCTGGGGCAGTGTGGCGCTACCTAACATATCTGTCAACACTGGTGTTGCTTCAGTAGGTTGTCTTTTCTTTTAACCTACATCGTGCAATGCCGCCGTTCATGCTTTATAACTGCTAGTCATTTGTACAGTCAAGTATCACAAAGTAGGGGACTTTTTTTTTTTAAGTTCCTTTTGCGCATAAATGAGATTTGTAGACTCTACAGAATCTGTAGGGATTATTTCAGAATGAAGTTCTTAATTAATATTTAACCATTAATATTTGCACAGCTGAAGAAGCTGTAAAGAGCCACAAGACTAGTTTTATTTAAGACTTTTCTGCATTCTTATTTTACTTTGTGCTTCTTCATTTTTAGTCGCTGTATTTTTCCATTTCCCAACATCAGGACACAAGAGGAACTATTAAGTGTAGCAACTTGCAGTTAATCGTATCCAAGTAAGCAAAGCAAGTAAAGCAGGTCGGCGTGCAGTTAGCCTGTTGGGGTACAATGAGGGATAGAGTGCATTTGTGTTATGGCATGTGGACAGGTGGACTTTTTTTTTTTTCTTTACAAAAAAAAAATTAAAGAATACATTTTGGAGGTTAGTGTTGGCAGATACGTTGGTACCCATGCGGCTGTTGCATCCCGCGTCGAAAAGAAAGACCCGATGGGGAAAACTGCTGGTGCACATTTCTCTGTTCACTTTTTTTGTTTTGGGGTTGTTGTTGTTTTTTCTATTGACTGGACCAGCTTGAATTAATTTTCTGATTCTGAAGGATGTGCTGATGGTACCTCGAGTATGATGTTCTTTATAATGGGGTAAAGTTCCTCTGTCTATGTATAAACTAAGAGAGGAAAAAGTAATGGATTATATGAATGATTTATTGTAGACGTAAACAGAACAGCGGTCTGTTTTGCAGTTATTTTTTGCCAGTTCTTCATATCGCCACATGTGAAAACAGCCCGTGTACTGTTTCGAATTGTTAATTTAATGCAGAGCACATATCATACTACAGATGATACAACCGCAGTCTGTGCCAAAACACTCATTGTAAATTTGTGAGCAGACAGTTGTCTGACAAATCTAATTACACGTAACTTAAGGAGTATTTAACAGTGAACTCAACTAATGTGTAGCTTAATCCAAGTGTTCCTGTTGTGTTCTTGCTGTCTGGTTTTTGTTTTGTTTTTATTTTGTTTTTATTTTATTTTTTTCAATACTGGTTTTGCCAACCAGGAAGAAAGGTGAACCATCACTACATTCCTTCATTGTCCAAGGGATTGTTTTTCAGGATAATTTGTTGGATGAGTTTTGCTCTTATGGAGCCATCAAAGCAGTTTTGTTTTTTTGTTTGGTTTTTTTTGTGTGTGTGTGTTTTTTGTTTTTTTTAATTAAACTCTTCACATCCTTTTTCTACATCTTGAATGCTGTTGAACCTAAAGCAAGCTGAAGTACTTCGTTAGTTATCAAAACTGTTTTCCTTTTATCATCAAACTGTTCCCCTGTCTTTGTGCTGATTGTTCACATGTGGTTATTTTTAAAATGTGTTCAACACTAAAATGTAATGTACAAATGAGAAAATAGGCTTTTTAAAAGTGTAGTGTGGTTTATATTTTTGTTTTGAATAAAAAAAAAAAACGGTATCTTTTTTTTTCCCCCCCCTCTATTTATAATATATCAATTACAGCACGTTCACATATTTTTCTTTGAATTAATTTCCAGATGCAGCATCTAAAACATTAGAATGACCTTAATGGGGATGTAGTTTTGAAAACTGAATCTAAATCTTGAAAGGGTGAAAAATACTTGAAAGATGGGGAATGTTTTCAGACTCCCATATTCTTTGTGCTTTAAGTTTAAAGATCTTTTTTTTAATTAAATCTCCCGTTCAAATCTAGTATCAAAAGCAGTAAACTGAGGTGAACAAATACTGCAAATATTTTAATCATGTGGATATTGACCATAACTTGACCCATTAGACCTTCATTTATGTCTGTTATGCATATTAAACTACAATATACTATTAGCAGTTGCTCTTAACATGTGTAAGATTTTTACACATTTTTACAAGCAGGCTGATAAGCTCAGGTGTAGTCTAATCCTCCAAAACACGCTATATTAATCTTATTGGTGCGTGTATTATGGAGAAATATTCAATTCGGGAGAGATTTCGCGATCACATTTAGACAAATCCACCTGGCCTCAGCAGGTTAAGGAAAGGCAGTTCACGCTCAGACCGGTAGGGGGTGGTAAAGCAGCAATTGCTATCCGGTTGTTCAGTCTGACGTCACTAGCCGTGTCTGGGCCTAAACTCCGCTGCAGGTCCATATATCAAACGATCACTGTGGCATTACTGAGAGTTGAAAAACTGTCTAAAGTCTTTCATCTTTAATAAAATGATCAACGTTCTGCTCTACCAGGTGTAACAATTGAGTTTAACATCCAGGCATCCATGAAAACGGAATTTATGACATTTAACGGAGTTAGAAGTTAGCAGGGAGTTAGCTCGCTAGCTTCTATCTAAATACAATATAGCATGTCCTGACTGCGGGGTTTTGGAAACAAATTAAAACGTACAGCTCTGTTATCACTTCCAGCATAAATGAAGACAGAAAACTAAACAGCAGTGACGTTTGTAGGGTTACTGAAGTTGGGCTAGCTGGTATATAATGATGTGCTACGTGACCGCTAGCGACACAGCTATGTTAGCATAATATAAACAAGCTAACTTTTTTTCCACTCGATAAAAGTTAACGTGAGTGTTCTCGGTGGTCAGGAACAAATGTAATCGCATGGCAGGATGCTGTAAAAGGACCAAACTTCAGCCAGGAGAACAACTGAGATAATCCATCCACAATACGAGGTTAGTCATTCATATACTGCTGCATGGGCTGGGCTGTAGTTACATCCAGAGGTGGGACCAAGTCATTGTTTTGCAAGTCTCAAGTAAGTCTCAAGTCTTTATCCTCAAGTCTCAAGTCAAGTCTCAAGTAATGTCAGGCAAGTCAGAGTCGAGTCTCAAGTCACTGGTGTAAAAGTCCGAGTCAAGTCACAAGTCTGAAACTTTGAATTTCAAGTCCTTTCGAGTCTTTAAAAAAAAAAAACGAAAAAATAATGTTGCAGTTATGCTAAATGTAAATATTAGACCATGTAATTTTAAAATCTGTGTTTTTCTCAACACATGACAAAATAGTGAACTTAGAAAATATACACAAATTGTGAAATTGCACCTCTTTAAAATGCAGCTCAATTAAACCTAGCTCCAAGAATAATTTTCACCGACAGTTCTGAGATAAGCTGCATGTTATTCTTGGATGCGGTTGTAGGACCAGCTTTAAAATCGCATGACAAAAATATCATACACATTAAAAAAAACTGTATCACCAACGTAGCCTGGACAACATTTGCTAGTTAGATGAAGTCAGCTATCTCATTGTAGCATATTTATATGCATATTTATAATCATACGGTTCTTGGAGTGAGTGCATACACTCATGAAGTTTAGTAACTTCAGGTCACTGCAACAAGCCCAGGTACAGTTTACCGACGGATGGGTGCAGGACCTTGAAATGCACCGTGTAGAACGAAAGACCATCGTACGTATCATAAGTTTACCAGTCTCACAAATTGTCGTCATAAATACACATTCGTTAACCGTTTATTAATAGGACCTTTGAGCTCAACGGTAATTAATTAGTAGTGGAAATAATTTCTGGTAGCATCACAGAAATGTAGCAGTGACAATAATACTGTATGCTGTAATCGTACTGGGCAATTAGTGATACAAAAAACCTGTTTTATCCTGTGAATAAAAGTATATGTTTTTGTCAATGTACCATAATAACAGAAGCGAAACACAATATTGTGTCAGGACAATTCACTATTTATGCACAATAAACAAAGGAGCGACAATTTCTGTTCAGCGCCAGACTTGCTTGTAACCTATATCACTAATTATGTTATGAAAATGACGTATTAACTACTAAAAAACACTGACCTTCGTGTAAATGCTTGGAGCAGACTAACCTGTGAGCTGGAGTGTTCTGGGACGTTATATTTGGTCTTTGAATGGCTGCAATCCAGTCGCGTCTTTGTTACTTCGGAAACATGGCTCGAACAATTTCTCTTCAACGACGTAATCCGATAACAACCGATCTCTTTACCCGTCGGCTTCCCGTGGCTGTCATGCGACCGGCTATTGCAGTTAATAATACAACAGCTTCTTGACATTTTTGTGTTTCTTTTTATCGCTGTATAACTGATTTTAATTGAAAGCCTGCGTGCGCTAGTACCGCTTGCCACGAGTTCCCAGAATCCTTTGCGGTTCTACCCGTGAATGACGTCACATTTTCAATCTCTTTATAATATGCATGTTAAATTTTATATTTGGGGTAAAATATCAAGTCTTTTCAAGTAAACCGGTTCAAGTCCAATTCAAGTCCCAAGTCATTGGTGTAAAAGTCCAAGTCAAGTCACAAGTCTTAGAACATTTTTTCAAGTCAAGTCTAAAGTCATAAAATTAATGACTCGAGTCTGACTCGAGTCCAAGTCATGTGACTCGAGTCCACACCTCTGGTTACATCCTAAGGTTTTAAAAACTGAGCTTAAATAAATGATTAGTGGTAATAAAAGCCAAGGGAGGTCAACAGTGATCACTGACTGTTTTAGGAGCTTTTTGAGATCAAATAGAAGAAAATACATAACATTAAACATGTTAACAACACAAAAGCCATATTAAACGCAGAGTACTTTAGACCCGGAAGTAGGATTCGTCGCGTCATCACTGAACAACCGGATGTATCAGCTGCCGTAAAAAAAAAAGAAAAAAAAAAAAGAAGAAGAGCAGTAAAGAATCGATGGCAGCCGCCCCATTGCGTTTTGTGGTTTCTACCGTTTTGATGAGGTTTGTTGGGAATGAACAAATAAGCGTACTTGGGCTTAA